CCAGCAGGAACTCATTAGCATAATAGGCCACACCCAACAGCAGAAACTCATTAGGATTGGCTACATTAGGGGTGTGTGACCTAACATGCAAAGGAGTTCCTGCTACGAAAAAGGCCCTGGGTTTTGACAACAAGGTAAACAGAATAAGAAGCAAAAGGTGGGTGTGGCCGGATGAGCACACTTCTGGTACCATGGGGTGTGGCCTAATGTGCTAATGAGCTGTGCTGTCAGGGGTGTGGCCTATTATGCTAATGAGTTCCTGCTGTTGGGTGTGGCCTATTATGCTAATGAGTTCCTGCTGGGCTTTTTCTACAAAAAGAGCCCTGTTTAAAATCACCTTGAACTTTCAAAGAAAACCTTCCTGCTACATGTAGCCTGTGAGTAAAAATCCCTAGCGGTGGATTTTTTAAATTAATGCAATGATTGCCTTAGAATCCTGTTGTTGCTTTTAGAATAAAGAAAGTTTCTATTGTTTTATATGGCATTTTTTTATTTTTTAGACAAAACAAACATGTACGAGGGGGGAAATATTCTTACAGATTCTTGTTTAACAAACTCCTCCCTAACAACTGGTATACTTATCGATTCCACCATATATCATTATGCATATCTCTTGCAAATGAATTGAAGTTATATTTTGTATGTCCTTATATGAGTTTTGAACGTCTGTATAGTTTATTTGCTATAGTCTTCAAACCACTTATAGAATCTTGACCATGTATTGTCAAATGCTGAGTCTGGTTGTCCTTTCAAGATTAAAGTTAATTTGTCCATCTCCTGAATGAAGAAAGTTTCTAGATCTTATGGTTGCAGAGAATAAACTTGAGCAACATGGGTTTTTCTTCCAGAAGCAGTCAGGGGGAATTGCTTTTCCGGGTGCTTGCAACTAGAGCCGTCAAATTATCTGTGCACAAAACGGGTGTCATTTTGTACTCAGAACGCTTGCCAAGTTGGGTTTCCCTCCTTTAAGAGCCATCCATCTGTGACTGCATTGAACACCGTGTGTGTGTGTGTGTGTGTGTCCTAAATTCAGCCTGTCTTGCTGGCCACTGAAGATACAGCTGCAAGTTAATGTTAAACGCACACAGCCATCTTTTCAGGGACTATACTGAGCATGCTGATTACATATATCTTCTCCCTTAACTCCCAAATAGTCATTTTAATACTGTCCAGATTCCTAAAGCAGCAGTGCGGTTGATGTGTTTGAACCTCTTTGAATCCACTGGCACAGGGTGGGGAAAAGATGTCTCTTGCATACTTTGCTTTTCCGTTAGTCATTATTGTGGGCCGTGGGAAGGAAGGGAGCCTTGGATCCCACACACACCCCTGTTCCTGCCCAGGTGGACTTCTTCTTTTTTGAATTATTTTTTAAGTTATTTCCTACATAAATACATATATGAACCAAGTGTTACAAACTTACAATTATGCATTCTACATACTCACCCAAATGACTCCACCATATATTATAACAGTTTTTAAATAGCTATCTAATATTATCACTAATGTGCCAGATACTGGGTTTGTATTGGGTAAAAGGAACTAATTATGTATGTTTGCCTTTTTCCTTGATTGTGTCTTTTTTATTTTTTGTTGATGTTTTCAGACAAATAGCCGTTTGTGATCATGTGAATTAGATGGGATTATTTCATGTCCCATTTTCGCATGAATTTTCCATGTGACTTAAGTGTTTTGCATTTGCGCACTGTGATTCAGGTCTGTTATTTTTGCCATTACAAACTGTTCCCAAGTTTGATCATGCCATGCTTTGAGAGTTGGAGGGTTTGGTGTGGACTTCTGTGGTGGGCAAAAGCTTCAGCCATAATGCATTTGGGAAGATGAGCTTTCAGCAGCTGTTCTCTCTCCCCACAGGACCAGAGCGGCAAGAGGAGCCCCAGAAGACAACTCTAGGCCTGGGATCGCACGGGAGGGCCCAATTCACTGACCAGCAAGTAGTTCTACAGGCCACTTCTATCCTACACTTCTGTCGTCCTGTGTGTGTAGGTCTATCTTGTACCACTTAAGGGACCAGGTTTAACCAGGAATACCAGGCTTGTGACGTAGAGGCCGGCAACAGTAAACCACCGTGCCTTGAAAGCCCCCACCAGGTGAGTCACCACAAGTTGGCTGAGACCTGGCAGCAAGACAAAGTTCAAAAACTTACTTTGAAGCAAAAGTTTATTCGTTTCCCGAGGTGCCCTGGGATTCCCATACAATACAATCCAATCCAATATAAATAAGTGCAATTTCTTAAGCTTAACACCTCAGTGAATGAATTCATCATTTGCAGAACTCAAGATGTCGATTCCCCCCCCCCACGGTGAGAACTTGAAGCCTGTCCCTTCAAGTCCTCCCCTACCTTGCATGTATGATAGCTTTCTGGGGGCCCCCATCTCACCGTGTGTGTGTGGGGGCATCCCCCAAGACCCTCCCTTTTTACTTCTTCTACTAGCAGCATTCTTGCCTCGCCCGTTTTGCTGCAATCTGTGGTTTTTCTTCGGCCCAGGAGTTTGGTGCACAACACTTGTTTCGTTTTAATGATGGTATCCAAATGTTATCTTGCCAGAATAAAGAAGTCAAAAAACAAGACTTGTCTGTCTGCTGAGACGCTGCGGGAGAAGCAAAAGATAAAGGTTTCCCTTGCTCGAAAGCCAGTCGACTCCCGACTCTAGGGTTGCGGTGCTCATCTCCGTTTCCAAGCCGAAGAGCCAGCGCTGTCCAAAGACATTTCTGT